GGCTGCAACAGCTGCCAATCCGTGGGGGCTCTAGTGTACAAATCCAATAATCTCCATATCTATACGAGCACGAAAGGCTAAAACCCGCGGGTTGTGACGGAGCTGCCGTTTCCTACTTAAATAAAAAAAAAAGAAAAAAAAAGTTTGGAGAATGAGGCATTTAGACTTTGGCTAGAAGCGGAAAGAAACTGGACTTGTTAGCAAAGAGAGGGGTGTCATGAGTTGCATTGATCGGTGCATTCGTTATAGAGATTGACAAACTATGGTGGTCACTTGGATTGATACTTGATATGTTTGCGTTCCTAAATGATTTCATCTTGAGTCCGGATAAGTTGATTTGAGTTGTTGAGTTATGCACTCATGTGAGAATTGTGAGGCCTTGAGCAAAAATTTCACGTATTTGTTTTCTTGTCCATCTACGTGCTTATAGTTTCAAGTTTCTTGGGGACAAGCAACGGTTTAAGTTTGGGGAGATTTGATTGGTCGGAAAAAAGTGTGTGTTTTATATATTTATTAGTGTATTTTTATATGCTATATTTTATCGCACTTATATATATTTTGACTTATTTATTTATCAGATGGATTTGAGTGCTATGATATTTTTATGTTTAATTTTTAGGATATTGGAATATTTCGTGAGAGACGGGGCACCAAACACAATTTCACCTGGAGTAGTATGGAAGTACCCAACACCAGTTCAGTTTTTGGCCCATTCGTATGGTTGGGAATTGAAATCCGCATTATTCAATTTACGGGCCAATGAGTTAAATAAAGAAAAAGATTGAAGTGGGAGATTTGGATTACACAAAATACCATTTTGCTTTATGGATTAATTTGGGCTCGTAAAAGAATAACTAAATATCTTGGAGATTACTTGGGCCCAATTGGTAGGAAAAGCAATTAATTAGAACAAGGAACATATACCTGGGGGAGACTTACGAGAGAAAAAAGGCAGCCCTACACAACACAGACGCACGCATCACGCACAGAGAGAAAAAAGACAGAGAGGCATTCACGCAGCACAGAAAAAGACGCAAAAGACGAGGAAGCCGATATCGCGGAGGGAGACCGCAACCGTACACAAGGGAGATAATTAATCTCTCTCTTTTATCTTTTTTATTTTTATTTATCATGTTAGCTTAGATTTTATTCTAGTTCCGGGGATGTTGAACCCTACGACTTGATGATGTTTGATTAATTCATGGTTGATTATTAAGTTATCTTTTTGGAATTGTTCGTGTTATTTTGAATAAGTAACCATGATGTGTTGAGTTTGATTTAGATTGATCACCTAGATTAGGCTTTACATATCTACACCTGAATTAGGCCTTCAATCCGTAGTTGTTGATGTGTTTAATTCATAAGTGGTATCCGGAAGATGGTAACTACCGGGGATAACACGGCCTATTTAAGTGAACGAACGCGGTTGAGTTCACTACTTAGTCTAGCCTTTTTTCTAATACGTAAAGCGGCTAATTGTATTAAATCTTGAAAGCTCTTTCTGGACTGTACAAGAAGTCAGGTCTAATCGTAGAGCGTCTCGCGTTTAGATTAAAAATAAGGAAAAATTCGGGTAACAGACCGTGTCGTTGCCTAGGGCTAGTAATTTCATAAGATAGCGAGATTCTATACCAAAGTTGATTAGACGAGTCAGTCGAGGGTGTAGACAGAACCGTGAACTAGAAATTTCTCTTTATTTATTTTATTTTATTTTTATTTTCTAGTTTAGATTTTATTTGCTTTAGTTAATTTAGTTCTTAAAATCAAAACCCCCCCTCTTTTATTGCTTTTATATTTCAATTAATACGAGAAAATCACAATTTAATTCACACTCCCTGTGGGTTCGACCCTTGCTCGCCACTACTACTAGTTAGTAGAGGTTAGTTAAGGAAAATATAACTTTTAATTTTGCCGCGTTGCGACGCGCGGTCAGTATAATTCTTAAAAGAATTTTAACATAGACTTAGATTAATTAACGTGCTTCGGGAATCTACACGCAAGTAGACACGGTTCAGAATTTTGGTTAAAGCCTCTGCCCAAATCAATTTCTTGACTAGCATGCGTCCTCATTCATGTTGGCCCAAAGAATTACTTTCTAAATGATTCTTCTTGGCCCAAACTCAAATGGCCCGATCTCTAAAATGCATAATAGGCCCACTCCACTATTAGAGCTCATACCTTTCCCATTTTATTTTTGTTTTCATTTTTCTTTTCCTATCCTTTTTCTTTTTCTTTTTTCTTATCTTTTCTTTTATTCTCCCCTGACTATCCCCAATTTATGAAGTAAATTCCCTTTCTTCCTCCCACACTCATCTCTCTAAATTCTTCACCCACACATACTCTTGGACCTTTGGACGCAGAGCAACGCGGCACCATGGAAGAGGTTCACAGTGTTGTCCGCGGCCCATGGACGGCTCGCGAAGGTTCGGG